GGTATTTTTCAAACTCCAGGAATAAGCCTGTACGACTAGTTTGGGTCAGTCTTTCACATTTATTTGACAAGAAACGAACAGATTACAGGAAATAGTTTGCATTTCTAAATCAGGTCTTTAGAGGGAGACCAGAACTAAGACTTGTTTTGCCCCTTTCACTGAGGGAACTGTGCCGTGAGGGAGATGTTGTGAGGAAGTTCCCTGGAATGATGATGCTCTCCAGTGTTTGCTTCTCTTCTCTGTGACTGCCCATGTGGCAAACATGCATAGGCAGATCTTGCATTCCCTTGTAAACACAAAGAACATTGGTCAGCACACTTCTGGGGGAAGAGCAGAGTTAACCATGGTCTCACCTTTCCAAACTTGAAACTTTAGTGCTTCTGTTGTTTGCCCAGTTCTTAAATAAGTGTGCAGTTGGGATTTAGCAGATAGATCAAGTACCTGGCATTAATCCAAGGTCTAATTCTTAATCTTCTGTACTATGGACATGGTAGATAAATTTCTCAACGGCCAGTTTTAAAAACCATTCACTCAAACCCGACATAGCCCATTTCAGCTTCTCTTTAATAGGAAAGCTAATAACTTTTTCTGATGTGGTGCATAAAGCTCTGGTATTTTGTTTGCTTTTTATTGCCAGGTGCAAGTGTGTTCGTGTATTTACAGTCAATAAAGCCATCAGTGCTATACACAGGTTTGGATGAATAATTTCAGCCTTTCAGTCTTGGGTATTGTGATTTGGGCCTTGCTGTGTTATCTGCACCCTCTGGTGTCGTGCTGACTGTCCCATCACTTGCACTGTTTCTGCTTTGAGATACTCCCAGAAGAGGGACAAACCCATCCCAGTGTTTTCATGCCCATTCAGAAATCACGTTCCAGCAGTACAGCTTGTTTACATCTACAGCAACTAGAGATGGTGATTCCCCAACCCCCTTCTTCCATAACGCATTTTTTGTCTCTGGTACCCACTCACACTCTTGACTTTTCATTTTGTGTGGTTATTTATTAGAAAGAAATATTACCTCCAGTCCTGTTGCCTGCTGTAATGAGTGTTTATATTTGCCAGCAGATGGGTTTTATGTTGCCTACACTTTTCTGTCTCTCGAGTATCTCAATAGCCACGAGCAAACCTGTTGGTGGTCACGTTGCTCTTGTTCTTCCCCCTGTATTTTTGTGATGCTTGCATGAGGTAAAATATATCTCTGCCCTGAAGCCACTGCAGCCATTCTGTGTGGCAGATCATGGGCTGGTGGGCCACCTCCTGATGCTCCAGGAATTTATTTCTCTTTAGAACTTCCACTGGATTTTCCCCACATAAATATAAATAGCAAATAAGATATTTCACTAAACGCCATGACACGTTTTAGCGGATTTAGATTCACTTTCCCCAGTTTCTGGTTCACGCTCCCTTTCCTCCATCTAAGAGTGGTCACGGTGGCGGTGTAAAAATAACTTTTAAATTGAATTTTTCAAGATCCTCCTGCTCTGCTCTCTCTTGCTGCTTCCCACTTCTCTTCTGATTTGATGTTTCTCTTTGGTCTTCTCCCTGAAAATCAAGATCTCCTTATGCTTTGCGTTGCCAGCTGTCAGGAGTGGTGCTGTCGATGCTGATGCTGCCACTGTGTTAGGTTGGCACCGTTGGCAGCGCTCTGCTGTCACCACCAATTGACACGGAAAGGGCTGTTTCTTGCTGGAAAATGAATTAACGAAAAATGGCTTTTGTTTCTGTCACGGAATTGTTCTGAAAGAAATTAAACAAACCAAGGAATCCGTAGAAAGCAGCGATTGAGCCCTTCGTTTTGTGAAGGTTTTAAATGTCATATATAAGTGAACCAAACACGGTGAGGCCAGCTAATTCTGTGACATCACGGCCTCCAGTTGCTGCATGCGATTTGAGCACAGATTCCATCAGGTGAGGTGTGTGGGGGTTTTTTTTTGTGTTTGGATTTTTTTTTTTTTTCCTGGCGTAACTGGTTTTGAGAAAAAAGCGAATGCCACCCCAGGCACCTGGAAATTGTCTCTGGAAAGAACAACCAATTTACTCGTGTCCCCCTGCGAAAGGGAGAGATAAAAAGAGATTGGTAAGATAAAAGAAGCCAAATGTGGAGGAAGTTGTCTTTTATACCTGTTATACAAAGGATTAGACCGTTAAACTGGGCTTTGCACTGAGAAATGAAAATGAGATTTATGGAGCCTTCATAGTAGGATAATTCTCTTCAAGGAATTTATGTGGCTAATAGCTGTTAAAATGAATTCTGAAAGTGGGATGTCTTACTGATGTAGTTACAGAGGGGCCTGGAAGGTACCTCTGTCATAAAGTTCTGTTTCTGCCACGGGTACCATCACTTGACAGGAAAACTAGGAAGGTTATTATATCACTTGATGGGAAAATTAGAAAAATCAGTAAAAAAGCTGCTGTTTTCTAACAAAATTTTTACTTTGCCTAAAAGACAATGTAACTTTTAAGGATAATTACCCTTTTTACCAAAAAAAAAGATGTCACCATTAAGTGCTTTTAATTTTCCACTGTGTAAATGGCCACGGACAGTGAATATAATAACAATTCAGGTCTGGAACCATGAGTAGAAGTGTTATGAGAACAACACTAGAAAAACGTGTTGAAATATTCTGGTTAGTTGATCGAAGAAAAAAGAAGTGGAAACAAAGCCTTCAGGAAAACCCTGGTGAAGTCATGGATGTGCCGGATTGCCACAGAGTGGCTTTAGGTGGCGGCACTGCAGCATCATCATAATGAAGACTCTTTGTTATCAGATTTGCAGAGATCATTTACTGTGAGTTAGAGCTTTTTTTGTCGAGGGTTTTGATCTCCCACGCTTTAATTTGCACAGTTTCTTGTGAAAGGTTGAGATGCACGCTCATCCAGTTGAGGGGGCTTATCTGGAGGAGAGAAGAATCAGAACTCTTCTGTAGACTTGACAGCTAGAACATCCCTGAGTACAGATGCAAAAAGTTCATGGCATTTTAGGAAACATTTTGAGAGAGCAGTTCTGAACTTTTCTCCCCAAATAGTTATGTTCATGTCTGTACACGTACTGTAGTGTGTGTAGATGTGTATGTAAATATATTATAATGTGCATCTACCCTAATCTATATCTTATCATTTATTTATATAAAAAATGTAGTGTAGTTCAAGTGATTCTTTTTTTTCAGAGAAAAAAAAAAAAGTCTTTCTTGATGTTTAAAAGCTGCTATCAGCCTAATTTCAATGTAAATGTTATTTAATTATTTTAAAATACGTGTTCGTACAAGTCTCCCCTCCCTATTTTTGTTTAGTTAAGCTTCCTAAGGCTTAAAATTATCTTGATCGTTTTGCTTTATCTTTTTCAATCCTTTGACATTTGAAGAAAGGCCTTTTTTTTTTCCTGCAGTTGACAAGGAGGGTGTTTGGCTGTGGAAGGGAATGCAGATTCTGTCTAGACAGAAAACACTGCCAAATATACAAGGTCCTTGACAGAACAGACAGTCAAGCTTCGCTTTTATTTCCACTAATATTCAGATTATAGTCATTTTAGCTCTTCCTCGAAGCTTAAAGTGTTTAATTTGGGGATTTGAGTTACTCTTTTTTTTTTTTTTCCCCTCAGATTTCCAGTGCCCCTTGTAAAGACTGTAGAGATATTGATGAATATTGTGTGGTGTGTACATGTTTCATGTATCGGCCACAATTTCGGTCTGAAAATAATTCTGCTTTAACTTTAGAGAAAGGTCTGTTTTTATCGAGATTTCTCCCCCCCCCATTCATCTCATATTACTCAAATTCAGAACTCTCAGAAATACAGAGGAATGGCTGATGAAAAACTTGAGTGATACTTTGAAAACGCAGCACATGCTGTGCAGTTCCAGCAGATGAAAGCAGGGTGGTTGAAGGGTTTAAAGCATGCTTTCAGATTAATTTACTATCATTTAAATATTCTTCTAAGAGACTGCTTATGGATTCTGATTTTTCGACTGCAGCTACAGTTTATTCAAAGTTTAAAGGGTTATGATGCATATTCTTTGTGAAGTATTCAACTCTTTTTTTTTTTTTTTTTTTTTTTTTTTTTTTTTTTTTTTTTTTTTTTT